TTTTGACAGTCTTGAGTTGATTGTATTCATTGTCTGTGATGTAAGAATGGCTTCTGGCATACTGAAGCAGATGGGCCAAGTACCCATCCAGTAATATTTGCCACAACTTCTGGAAGGTACTGCTGGATACAAATGTTGGTTGTAATAATCTGGCGTGTGACACATTCCATTACGAATGGAACCAGGAATTAGGAGTCCTGGGCCCCAAAATTGTAATTGCTGGAGGTGAAGTTAAGAAAGACATGATCTAGTACCATGATAACAAGCTGTGGTATCCAAACACTAAACAAGTGCTGGGAATGGAGTATTAGGCTATATACAAACAAGCTGAAGTTGAAGAAAGCGGAGGTCCAGTTTATTGGGCATCCAACCCCTGTGGGACCTCATCCTTACCCTAAAAAACTGTGCCTAGACAAAAGGAAGTGAGGGGAATCTAATGATGTACAGTGAAAACCAACTACAGTAAAAGCTGTGTTATTAACTGGCATCTGTCCCACCATGGCACTTCTGGTTTCACCACCGCAAGCCAAGTCTCAACTTCTTTCTCGTGGACCATGGCCTGGGGCAAAGCAGCCTGTGCAGGGCCCCCCTCCCTGTCCCCCGGTGCACTGATGCCAGGGAGTGAAAGCCCTGACGCACCGGATGTGGCGGGAGGGGCAGCAGCCCAAACAGGCAAAGACGCCTCCAACCCACCAGGCTGGACATAAGTATAACTCTTAGATAACCAGCATATTTGATTAACCAGCACCGCCATTCCCCATGGATGCTGGATAACAGAGCTTTTACTGTATCTTTCAAGAGTCTGCACACAACCAGTAGAAGCCTGTGTACTTGAGACAATTTATACACAATGAAGAAGCATAAGAGTGATCAGAGACATGAGAACAAGCATCTGAAAGAGAAAGCAAGGCACCAGTACTAGCAAACCTTAGGGAGCAGCTAGAGTTATGTAGGATTAATACTGAAGTAAAACCATATGCCAACAGACTATGCTAGTACAGGCCTGACAGGCATAGTAAAAGGATCTGCTGGGACAGAAAAGAAGCTACGTGTTGTGAAATGTAACAATTTCATCAAGTTCACCTTTGGGCATGAGATGGAAGTGCAGTCTGATCAAAAGTCTCTAGAAAGCATCATGAAAAAGCCTTTTCTTAAGTGCATCCAATCAACTACTTAGACTCCAGCACCTTGACATGAGGATACAGCCCTGTCTGGGAAAGTCACTGATAACAGTTATGAATACACTGAGCAGGACATGCCCTCCACAGTCAAACACCAATGGCTCTTTCAAAAAGGCATTACTAGGAAGTATTGCTATTAATATATTATAGTATCTTCACGTAACTAAGATGAGGTTTTATCTTCACATAACCGATAGGGATGTACGAAGAGGGCCCTATTCGATTTGGATTCAGGGACAGTGATTCAATTTGTTGATTCAGATCGCTGTCCCCTGTTCAATTCAGCTGAATCCAAATCTGAAGATTCAATGCTGATTTGAAGAATCAGCCATTTGGACACAGACACAGCTTTAAACATTTTTTCTACATACCTTGAGGTAGCAGACATGGCTTGTGATGCTGGAGCGCATGGAGCGTTCCACAGGAGTGCAGGGGAGCCCTCCACATGCTCGGCAGCGAACCTGGAAGTGGACTGGAACTACTTCCAGTCCACTTCCATATCTGCCAGGTAGAGTGCTGGGGGGCTCCCCGTGCCTCCCTGGCTTGGCGATCAGCTGCAGGGGGACCCCGGGTGCCCCCCCAGACCCAGGAGGCACCAGTTGCCAAGCTGGGGGAGTGCAGGGGGGCCCCCCAGCGCACTCCCCAGCAGACCCAGAAGTTGACCAGAAGTGCTTCTGGTCCATTGCTGAGCGTGCTGGGGAGCACCCTGCGCTCCTGTGGGACGCTCCATGCACCCCAGCATCGCAGTGTTCATGAGCCGCCTGCTACCTAGAGGCACGTAGAAAAATCATTTAAAGCTGTGTGTATGTCCAGATCTCTGAATCTTTCTGAATCAATTTGGAGAGATTAAAGGGTCCTCTGATTCGATTTGGAGATTTGGTCATCATATTGGGCTGAATGGAATTGAATTGAAGTTTCGCGCAGCCCTAACAACTAATATGAGGCAATCCAGCAAAGCACTGGATGAAGTACTTAAGGCAGTTAAAGAACTGTACTAAATAGTTTGGGGGATAGCAAGGAAAGTGGAGTGTAATCTTCCTCCATTTCATCAGTAGAAGGTAGGGCAGGGTGGCACCTCAGAGACCAACTGGTTCATGGAGGCCTGAGCTTTTGTAGGCAACAACCTGTGGACTGCAGAATGGAGTGCTAGTCCACTGTCCGTTCCATTCATCGCACTTGACAAAGCAAACTGTTGCCTACAAAAGTGTATGCCTCTGAACCAGTTGGTCCCTTAAGGCAGGGGTTCCCAACCCCCAGGCTGCGGCGTGGTGCCGGGCCACGAAGGGTTGGCTGCTGGTCCGCAGGAGGGCTGGCTGCCAGACTGGAAGTGACTGCGGACCAGCAAACCGCAGACTGGCAAACTGGGGACTGGAAGTGACTGGCATACTGTGGACCGGCAGCCAACCCTTTTTTTTCTACTGAGTATAAAAAATGGTTGGCTACATGCCCACAGTATGCTGGTCACTGCTGGCCTGCAGCTTGCCGGTCCATGGCAACTTCTGGTTCGTGGCTTGCTGGTCCTCAGCCTAAAAGGGTTGGGAACCCCTGTCTTAAGGTGCTGCCTTGCCCTGCCCTCTGCCTGACTTCAGACTAACACTGCCCTGTGAGCAGGTGACGAAGGAACACTGTGGGCTGGATGGTATGGCTCTGTGGGCTGAGTCTTCACCACCCCTCCGTTTAAACCAAACTCTAAAGGTGGACACTGAAGGCATAGGCCAGCCTGTGACCTGATTTCTGGAAGGCTCAGCCTTGACAGCTGCATTTGAATTAAATGGGAGCTGTGCTTTGAACAGAAAAATTACCTTTAAAAGTATTAATTGCACTGGAAACTCAAACCCTCATAAGCTTTTCCCCCTCCAAGTGTGGCCTTGCTCCCTGGCTCAGTTTCTCACGCCTGAACAGGATCTATAGTGTGAAGAGCTTCGGCAGGTCTGCAAGGCACTCAGACGTGCAGCCAAGAGCTATAGACAAACTCATGAGGAAAATTCATACTTCTTTGCGGCCCAAAACACCCGACACCCCCAACCTGAGCCCCCAGTGGGAAAGCCAACTAACCTAGGGCCTACTCTTGTAGTCCAACCCCAGACCTCTACTCATGTAGGGAAGCGCCCTGCTTCAACCTAGTCCTGAGAATGGCAAAGGCGCTGCTCCCAGAGACTGGGGGCAGAGGCAGACCTAGGGCTCAGCGGGCACCCAAGCAGAGGCTCCAGCCAGTGTGAGACTATAGCACTCAGGTGTCCAGGATGGACCTCCCGGTCAACCTCCTCCTGGCCCTGGCCAACTGGGCCCTGTTCTTGACCAGGAAGGAGGCTCTGGCTGGGAAGGCGCCTGGAGACTGCGGGGCCACTTTCCTTTTACTCGTCTGTGCACATTACAGGGCAGAGCACCAGTGGTGGCGTCCACCAGCTCCCTGGATGCCTTTGAAGACTGGTAAGCATGGCCCGGGGAGCTCTGCTCGGTGTCCCCCTCCAGAGAACTTCTTTTCACATTTTGACCCTTTGGCCCCCATGTCACTTCTGTCCTGCTTTTGTTTTTGTTGCCCCAAGAAGTTAGTTTGATCCTTCACCCTTTGGCTCCACAAAGGGGCTATTAGTTAGCTGGGTGGGCCTTAATTGTATCTGTCTGTTTGTATTTTCCACGTTAGTACTGAAGAGACAAACAGACCAGGTGTCTGGGTCTAGAGGCAAAAGGAAATACCGCCTGGCCCATCCTGCTTCCCACGAAACAACTTTTGAGGTGAAGAGACTATTCTGACTTTTCCTGGAACCTAATCTGCATCTGAAACAAACAATGGATGACTGGTGCCTCCCCAGTCTGGGGGGCACCAGACCACGAATCGGCAAGGGGTGGGGAAGATAGGGGTGGGGAAGTTTGGGGGGGGGAGGTTCCCAGCAGCCAATCGCTGAGCCCGAAATCACCAGCGGCAAAACCAGAAGTACATTTCCACGAGCACTTCCGGTTTGAGGGGTGGCGCTTGCAGGAGTGAACGTGCACCTGCACCCGACGCCGATGAAACTCACTGCTCTGAACAGGAGATTTTACCGCCCCTATGAAATATGAACTTTCATTTCTACCCAGGAGGACTTTCACAGTCCTGTGCCTGACGAAGGGTGCTTGTGCCTGCAAGCTTGCCATTAAAGATTTATTTATTTATTTATTTATTTTTGCAAAAAGCTAGGCAGGCTACGGCGCTGGTTTTCAACCTGTTTTCTATCGCGAAGCCCTTTGCATGTCCGGGGTGCAGCAGGGCGGGGAGGCGGC